CTGTTTGGGGTTCATTGGACTTCTTGAATGTATATATTCTCATCTTTCATCATACCAGGAAAATTCTCTTCCAACAAATCTTCAACAACTTTTTCTGTAGTTTTATTTGTCTCTTTCTGTTCTGGAATTCCGATTACACGTAGGTTATTCCTTTTGATGGTATCCCACATGAACCTTAGGCTTTCTTCATTTTGATCTTTTTTCTGATTTTTCCCTTTCCAAAGAAGTATTGAAGTATTTGCCTTCAATCTCCCTAATTCTGTCTTCCATTGATTCAATTCTACTCTTCTGTCCCTTCAATGAGTTATCTATTTCTGAAAATTTAGTATTAATCTTCTGGATTTCTTTCTGTAGATTTTGTATCATTTCTAATTTTTCATTTATTTTGTCATTTCTTCTTGTACTGTCTTTCAAAATTGTTCTAGGGTTTTCATTTCATTGTTTTGCTCAAGTTTGTCAGTGTTTTCCTTGATCTATCTCTCAATTCACTGAAGGTACCCTAAATATAATTCTTTTGAATTCCTTATCAGGGAGTTCCAATGCTGCATCTTCCCCAGGGATGTGTTTTGGGTCTGTATCCTGGTCCCTTGTTTCTCCTGCATTATCTGGCTTCTTTGTGTGGACTGTGATGCTCTGTTGTCTCCAAGGCATTGTGACGTTTTCGTGTTTATATTTAATTGGTGATTGTATGTTGGAGTGATTTGCCCAAGATTTTCATTTACTTTGTTTGTATGTTATCTATATAAGCAATGTACTGTGCTGTGCTTCTCTATTCGCTAGTTGGCAGCACTTAAACACTCACTACCTGTCTCCTTTCCCATTGTCAGCCTCCCATATGTCCCTGCCATCCTTGGCAAATGGAGCCTATTCTTAGGTCCCTGGAATCTGAATGAGAATACTGTCACTTTAAAATCCAAAATGGCTACCACTTGTAAACATTCAAACTGGCTGTGCCCTCGGGCACTTTAAATATCCAAAATGGCCACTGCATGTAAATGATCAAAATGGCTATACCCTCCAGACAGCTGAAAGTCCACAGCTCAGGTTGTCTCCTTCCTTGCTGTTTCCCTTCCTAATGATAGGCCACCACTGCAGTAGTCCCTGAAGCCCTTGGTGACGAGGGCTGACCTTCAGGTCAATTCTCAGGTCCCAACACCACTTGGAAATATTCAGGCTATCACTCCTGTCAGAGTGGCTGACAGTCTGGTGCTCTGACCATCTCCATACTCACTGTTTTTGTTCAGGTTTTTCCACTAGTTGATGCCTAATCCACTTCTGTATACTTCCTGAAAGTGAAGAAATCTCAAAGCACTTCACTGACAAACATCAAAGACTACAGTCTTCAGTATGGATTACATTTCAATGTAAAGAAATCAAAAATCCTCAGAACTACACCCATAAGGAACATCATGGTAACAGAGAAAAGACTAATACTGTCACAGATCTTATTTTCTTTGGATCTACAATCAACACCCATGGAAGCAGCAGTCAATAAATCAAACATTGTATTGCACTGGGCAAATCTGCTGCAAAAGACTTCTTTAAAGTTAAAGGAGCAAAGATGCCACTTTGAAGACTAAAGTGCACCTAAACCAAGCCATAGTATTTTCAATTGCCTCATATGCATATGAAAGCTGGACAATGAATAAGCAAGACCAATGAAGAGTTGATATTTTTTAATTGTGGTGTTGGCTAAGAATACCGAAAATAAACTGGACTGCCAGAAGAACAAACAAATCTGTCCTAGAAGAAGTGCAGCTGAGATGCTTCTTAGAAGTGAGAATGGCCAGATTTCATCTCACTTACTTTGCCCATACTGTCAGAATGGACCACTCCCTGTAGGATATCATGCTTGGAAAAGTAGAAGGTCAATGGTAAAGAGGATGACTCTCAATAAGATGGAGTGACACAGTGGCTGCAACCATGGATTCAAACATAGCAAGGACTGTGAGGATGGTGTAGGACTGGGTAATATTTTGTTCTGTTGTACCAGGGTCACTATGAGTCACAGCTGACTCGATGGCAACTAACAACAACATTGCTGCTTGGAAACAACTTCTCAATTGTTGCTTTAAAGAATTCCTATTATGAATATTCGGCAATAACATACCTGATAAGGGACTTATCTCTAAAATTTATAGAAAACTCCAGCACCTCAACAACAAAAAGAAAATAATTCAATTAAAAATGGGCAGAAGACATGAATAGACACTTCATCAAAGAGGATATTCAGGTGGCCAACAAACACATGAAGAAATGTTCATGATCATTAGCCATTAGAGAGATGTAAATCAAAACAACAATAAGACACCGTCTTGCCCCAGCACTAATAGCAAAGTTCAACAAGACAGAAAATAACAAATGCTAGTGAGGATGTAGGGAGATTGGGCCTCTCATACACTGCTGGTGGGACTGTCAAATGATAAAACCACTGTGGAAAGCAGTATGGCGATTCCTTAAAAAGTTGCAATTAGAAATACCACTTGACCTAGCCATTCCATTACTAGATATATATCCCACAAAATTGAGAGCCAGGACAAGAACAGATATGTGCACACCTATGTTCATAGCAGCACTATTTACAAGAGCAAAAAGATGGAAACAAGCCAGGTGCCCATCAACAGAAGAATGGATAACCAAACTGTGGTACATACACACAATGGAATATTATCCAACCCTAAAGAATAATGTAGAATCTGCAAAACACCACATAATGTAGATGAACCTGGAGGACATTTTACTGTGTGAAATAAGTCAATCACAGAAGGACATATATTGTATTAGTCCACTATTATAAAAAGTCAAGGAAAAGTTTATATATGGAATAAAACGTTCTTTTTCAGTTACCTGGGGAGGGATGGGGAGGACAGGAGGGAACACTGTCAGACAAGTAGAGGCAAGTATTGATTTGGGTGAAGGGAAGGGCAAGGTACCAAATGTGAGTGATCAACACAGTGGCATTGAGGAAACATAAAGAGGTACATGGGAGATACAGACAACAAAGATGAACCCTTTTGCACATACCGTACTGCGTTGTCAGTGATGGCAAACATTGATCTATGGGTGCATAGATGTGAATGATCAGGTTTGTCTAGGCAGGGGGCAGTGTGCCCATGACTATGTATAGGGTTGGCAGACATTGTTTCTACAAGCATATTTGTATGTGCTGTAAGAATGGCCAGGTATATAGTAGAGCTGACAAGGGCCAAGGTTGTGGTGACTTCTTGGCCAAAGCCAGCTACCCAAAGGGAGTGAGTAGTTGGACCTGTGGGCTCAGGAACATGGTTACAGGGGAGATCAAGCTCATTGGCATAACATACTACACAAAAACATTGTTCCACATCCTACTTTGATGAGTAGCGACTGGGATCTTAAAAGGTTGCAAGCAGCCTTATAGCTGCAACAATGGGTCTCTCCTCATCCAGAGTAAAGAAAAATGAAGAAAACCAAAGACGTATGGAAAAAATTACTCCCAGGGACTGGTAGACCATGTTATCTTCAGTCTATGTGATCTTGAGACCAGAAGAACTAAGTAGTGCCTGGCTATTGTTGTAAACCACTTGGAGACGCATCTGTATAGGAGATCCTGAATAGAGTGGGAGGACAGTGTGAAACAAAACTAAAAATCATGGGGAAAAAAAAAAAAGAGACCAGTTTTGCTGATCTGATAGGCCCTGGTGAAACCCCTGAGACTATGGCCCCTAGCTCCCCTTCATGTCTGGAATTGAACCCACTCCAATGGCTTCCAGCAAAATAATAGACAGGCATATGGGCTGAACATTTACATCAGATAGATGCACTCCTTGAAGAGATCAATCATGGGAGAAAAGAAGGGTAGTGTATGCACAGGGAGACAGCTGGGGAGAAGGAGTACACGGGAGGGAAGAACACAGGGAAGAAATAACTATGGAGAGGAAGTGGGAAGAGAACTGTTACACTGGGAAATTGCAGTCAATGTCATGAGACAAAATGTGTATGAACTGCTGTATAGAAAATGAATTTGCTCTGTAAACTTTTGCCCAAAACACAAAACTAAAAAAGAAAATATTCCTATTACGATTTTGCTACATGTTATTTGGAAGGAAAAATTTACTCTCTTGGATTAGCTCTAATTAGTTCTGGTAAGCAATGAAGAGTTATAATACATAAATTTGGAGTCATTTGCAGTTCTATAATAATCAGTTTTTCCACCTAATTGGCCTATCTTACCTATAGTATATTTTCTTCATAGCAAATGGCAAGCAGCTGAAACATTGTTTGTAGATCTTGTTCTCATCAGTTGCCAGTTCCAATCCGCATTTTGCACAGCCAGTATATATAATGTTGGGAAGAGAAGAGAGAATACTATTCAGAGAACTCTGAGCATTTAGGGTTATCTGCCTCTTCTGGGCTGCCATAATAGGAAACACCAGCTCTAAAATCTGGGCTTTGATTAGAACCACTCCTATGAAAGACAAACAGAAATAAGTATTATAAATTTTAGATCCAAAACTGTTACGTTAATTTATAAGCATGGTTAACTACACAGTTGATATAGTAAATTATTTACCCAAGACCTTGTTCTTGGTCTTTTCTTCTCCAGTATTTTCTTAGACATTTCACCCACACTTACAACTTAATGGTTTTAGTGTTTACTCTAGAACGTAAGGGGTGATCTGCTTGCTACTGAGAGTGTAGATTTATTTGGTTGTTTTGGATGAACAGATAGAAGTTTTGTTCCTCCTTACTCGTGGAAGTCACACCAAGTAAGTTTGATCACTTCAAACATGTGAAACTAGGTAACATGCCCTCTCTCCCACCTCTATTTTCTGTCTTAATTTATCACTATCAAATGTCAAATAGAGGCGAGTTATTCTACAATCTTTTCTTTATCCAGAAAAAACAAACCACTAGCTAATTCTCTTTTTGATCAAACCATGTATTTTCATCAATTTACTGCCAATCTCATCCATACTACAGGTTGTAGAATAATTTTTTTTTACAATTAAAAATAAATATTTAACTTTTATTTCAAGAGGATTTTCTTATCCACAAACCTAAAAAAAAAAAAAAAAAAAAAAATTGCTGACCCAAATTTAATTCTGCCTGTGGCATCACTGGACTGTTTTCTTCACCCAAAGTTGCTAACGAACATTTCTTTGCTGTTCAAAGAGCAGTCAAAAGCAAAACCATTACCTCATGATTTAATGAAAATGACTCTAGCTTAATTTAAATTTCAAAAGATCCCATAACAGTATGCAGGTATAGGGACAAATTTTTAACTGCCAGGCCAGAGACCACGAAGTAATCGGAAATCATTTGATCTAAATAAAAGGGGCAGAATGTGATTCAATCAATCATGTTAAGATTAGCCAATAATCTATTCTTCTGCCTCTTCTCTTCTTAACCTCACTGTAACTACCTTACTTCGAGCCATTTAAAAAAGAAAAAAAAAATCAGAATAGTCTGCCTATATGCGTATAGAATAATTGATCAGAATAAACCTTATGTTTCAATTTCACTGAGTTTTTATTTTTAACAGGGTGGTGGATATATAGCCACATAAGCACTAAGATCTGCATTTACTAAATGTTTCTCCTCTGACTCCCCCAGAAGCTTCAGACATTAACTACTATATTTGTACTTTCATGTGCTCTCTCAAATTCCCCCTTAAAAACACATAAATGCTGGGGATTTGAAATGGAGTCCTGTCGGTAATCACTATGTTATTTCCCTCCAGCATCTTAGTGCTTGAAGAACTAGGTACAGCAGTTTGAATTAGGGATTTTGGTGCTCTGAACAGCTCACTGAATCAGGTGCACCAAACACAGAAGAGTAGAATTAAAGGAAAGGCACAGGGCAAGATTTAAGGAAGATCTACTCGGCGAATGGCAGACAGGCAGCTGGGAGGGGCCATTGGAAACATCCCTGGGGCAGTCACAGACTGGCGGACGAGGGCAGTCACCTGAGATCTCCGTGGGCCAAGGAAGAAGACACCCTGTATCAGCATACCAGCGACCACACCAACATACCGGAAGGATCTACCTTCAGCACTTAAATTTTATTGGTAACTTGGGTCAGCTAGGTGCAAACAGGCACGTGCAGCACCACTGAAACCCAAGTAGAGAGCTCACTGGTGCTCCAGGAGGGTGAGCTCACTCCCCCTTCAGCGGGTCACTGACTGGGCTTGGATCAGCTTGGGAGGCACGGAGAAGTCTGTGCTTGTCTTTGTCACTGATATGGGGACCACAGATTACTAGCAGGCACTCTCCCGACACCAGCACAGCTGAAATCGTGCACATCTTTGGCACTGCAGGTACACAGTATCACAAATTCCCAAGCCATTCGTGGTCTGGGTGGATTGGGCTGGTGCTACGAGCAGACGGGGTGAAGTGAGAGGAATCCGTGGCCTAGTGTGGACCCGGGAATTTGCCTTGAATTGGCTTTTTGGCACTGAGGGGCCTCAGAAGTAGGGTTGTTGAGTGTGTCTAAGCCTAGTAGAAAATGGTGACACCCTAACAACAGGAATCTTTACTAAAATTGAGTCACGGACTTGTAAATAACAGTACGACATCATCAATAGCAGCCCGCTCAAAAACCCAGAAACCAACACTAGCAACACCAAGCTTTCTTTCCTCTGCTCCCACCTTCTCCGCCAATAATTTCACTTATTCAACAGAAGAAACCATATTCAGCCAACATAAAACCTCCCAGTTCAAACTCTAAACCATCTTTACGACAAACAGAAACACATACCCACATTTCACACTGTGATTCATTCCACCATCACAAAGTAAACTGCAGAGCGACCCAGCATACCTGAATCAATAATAAAATAAAATACACCAGCTTCACCTTTTCAAAATATTAAACTATAAAACCAAGACAAAACAAATCAACATGTAACCAGCAGTTAAAGACAACCTCAAAATGTCCAGGAAACAAGAAGCAATCTCAAATCAAACAAAAAAAAAAAAAAAAAAAAACAGGACAAGGCATTAGAAGCAAAACCACAAACAAAGGTGTCTCATTATACCATGGAGGAAGAGGAGGCAACAGAAGTATCTGAGAAAGAATTTAGAAGATATGTTTATAGAGCTATAAAAGAGCCTTAGGAAATCCCAAACAGAAACAAGGAAAAAACAAGACAGTTCCCTGGAGGAACTCAGGAAAATCATTGAGGAACAGAATATTAAGATTAATGCACAATCAGAACTCATACAAAAACAGCAGTTAGAAATGCAAAAGATGTCTATTGATATGCAAACCATGAGAACCAAAATGACAGAACTACACAACACAGTAGAAAGTAGAAGCTCAAAAGAGTAGGTTAGAACTGGCTAAAGAACACATATCCCAACTAGAAGACAAATCCCTGGACACTACCCTCTATGAAGAAAAATCATAACAAAGATGTAAGAGAAATGAAGAGAGCTTAAGAATTATATGCGGTAACATGAGATGAAACAATATAAGACTCATTGGAAATCCAGAGCAAAAAGAGGCAAAAGAAACTACCGAGAAAATTGTGGGAGACCTGCTAACAGAAAACTTCCCCCATATCATGAAGGAAGAAAAGATGTTTGTCCAAGAAGCTCATAGAACCCCACACAAGATTGATCACAAAAGAAAAACACCAAGGCATATTATAATTATACTTTCTAAAACCAAAGACAAAGAAAAAATTTGGAGAGCTGCCTAGGAAAAAAGAAATATTACTTATACTAATCAAACAGTTAGGCTGAGCTCTGATTACTCAGCAGAAACCATGTAGGCAAGAAGGCAATGGGATGGCATATATAAAACTCTAAAGGAAAAGAACTTCCAACCAAGAATCCTATATCCAACCAAATTATCCATCAAATATGAGGGTGAAATCAAGGCATTCTTAGACAAACAGAAATTAAAGACTTTGTGAAAACCAGACTAACCCTACAAGAAATGCTTAAGGAAGTCCTACTAATAGAGAACCCACAACAGAGATCAGCAAAACCAAGAGATGTGCCATCAACTCTAAAACCAAATCAGAAATAGATACTCATAATAAGACCATAAAACATTCTACCTTAAAAACCAAGAAACTCAAGCAGCACACAGCAACAGCAACTAATATCAGAGGGAATAATATTTTTTAGGTACAGACCCTCAAATGGAGAGGAAAACACAACAGTGTCTTTGCAGCATGCACTGTTCTAAAAATACAGAGACAAGAATATACTCTAAGGTAACCACAGAGAAGAGTAACAATTCTTCTAAGCAAATTCAGAAGGAAGGAAAACATATGCATTTAATAAACACAAAACCAACTATAAACAAGAAAAGGGAGAAAGCATTAGCCAACAAACTGAACTCAGGACAGAAATATACACGGACCAAGGAATCACCAACAACATGACAAAAAACCACAAGAGAATGACAGCATCAAGTCATACCTATCACTAATTACACTCAATGTGAATGGACTAGATCTAGCCCCTATCAAGAGAAAGAGAGTGGCAGACTGGGCAAGAAAAGAAGACCCATCGATTTGCTGCCTATAAGAGAAACATCTCAGACACAAAGATAAAAACAAATTAAGAGTTAAAGGATGGAAAAGAATACACCAAGCCAATTGAAATAAAAAAAAAAGGCAGGGGTAACAATTATGATTTCTGATAAAATAGACATTAAGGTGAAAAACATCTTAAGAGACAAGGATGGGCATTATATGATGCTGAAAGGGTCAATCAACAAAGAAGATGTTACAATAATAAATATTTATGCACCCAATGAAAGTGCTCCAAAATATGTGAAGCAAACATTAACTGAATTAAAAGGAATGATGGACAACTAACTCTACATTAGTAGTAGTTAAAGTCTCAACACACCACTTTCAAGGAGAGACAGGTCAACAGGAGAAAAACTCAACAAAGATACAGAAGAACTCAACAATACAATTAACCAAGTGGAACTCATAGATATATAAAGAGCATTTCACCCAACAAAAGCACAATTCACATTCTTTCCCAGTGCACATGGATCCTTCTCCAGAATAGACCATATGCTAGGACATAAAACAAGCCTCAATAAATTAAAAACATTGAAATACTGCAAAGCATCTTCTCAGAGCACAATGCTATAAATTAGAAATTAATAACAGGAAGAACAAGGAAAAAGCAGCAAACATATGGAAGCTGAACAACTCTCTGCTTAAAAACTATTGGGTTACAGAACAGATAAAAAATGCAATAAAAAAAATTCTTGGAAACTAATGAGAATGAAGATACATCATACCAAAACCTATGGGACACAGCAAAAGCAGTACTCAGAGGACAGTTTATAGCAATAAATGCATACATCAAAAAAGAGGAAAGAAACAAAATCAACACTCTAACTTATCAACTCCAACAACTAGAAATAGAATAACAAAATAATCCTACAGTATCTAGAAGCAAGGAAATAATAAAGATCAGAGCAGAAATAAAT